CTAGAGCCCAGCCGAGCCCCTTCGTAGTTCCGCCCTTGGGTGGTAGCTGGCTGGTCAAGGATGGGGTAAGAGGGGGCTGGTTAGGTTTTTTTCAATGCTTTTTAATTTATGTCTTGGTAATTGAGAGAGGGGGATGAGAGAGAGAGAGGTGGAGAGAGTTTTTATTTTATTTTATTTTTTTCAATTAAAATTCTTTAAATAAATATTTATCATGTTTTATAAATCTATTTATTATTTTGAAATAATTTGTGGGTCTCTTTGTTGCCATGTCATTTACCATGTAATGAGTTTACAGATTTTTTGATGGTTGATTAACGGTGGGTATGAAAATGGAAGGAAATTGAACTTTATGTACAAAGTTTATACAAAAAAAAAACTTTAGGTAACAAAGTCAAAATTTTGGGAAACTTTCGGGTAGTAAAGTGAAATTTACGCTTTAAATTTTAAGAAAAATTAGGTGTTAGACAGAACTATCTTTACTAATTAGTATTTGAGACAGCATTTTTGTTGGGTTTTAATACCTAGGAATCAAATTTTGTTTTGGATTAGGCCAAAGAGGAGGCCCAGATTCGTTGGCCCAGCTTAAAATAATCACTGAAAGGACAATGGTACCCTTCTTCTTTAAAAGCCTGGCCCAACTTTAAAACTTGCAAATCAAATGATGTTTTTACCCCTATAGGTTGAAATTTAGCTCTCGATTTCATTCGCTTTTACGTTGTAGAGCTTTGGTTCTTTTAGCTGTGATTAGAGCTCTGATCTTCGTGCATGTTTTCGTTCATTTTTCTCTTTGATTTTGTGTTTTCTTCATACTTTTGCTTTTGCATGCAAAAATCAAGGTCAGTTTTGGCGTGCAATCTGATCTGTGTGATTCTGAGCTCTGGTGCAATCTTATTTCTCCTATTTCGAGCTTAGTTTTGTTCGTTCTTACGTGATTTTGTGGTGTGATCTTCTTCGTATTGTGTAGTTTCATCTTCTGACTTGAAATTGTATTTTTCTATTGTTAAGGTATGTATTTTCTAGATGAGATTGTTATTTTAATTTTCAAGTTATTTTTCATTTTTGAAAAGTTAATTTTTGAACTCTTTGATGTAGTTTTTGTTTTTGTTTTGGCTTTTGTGATCATATTTGAGTTTGAGCAACTATTTGGTTGGGGAATTTTTTCAGAATTTGCTGTTGAGGTATGAGTACTTCAAATCGTTTTTTCATTTATAATTTTAGAATTATTTTGTTGATTTTTGTTTAGTTCAAGTTTCTGTTTTAATTTGGTTAGTCTATTGCTTATTATATGCTGCATTGTAGTTTTTACTTTTGATTTGTTGATTTTATTGTTTTATGTTGTTTCTTACTAGGTGATGCCTTGTAGTTTTTGATTTTGAGTTGCTTATTTGATTTGTTTAGGTTTTTCCTTACTAGCTGATGACATGTAGTTTTTAGTGTTTGAATTTTTTTGGGTAGATGTTGCAATGTAGTTTATGTTCTGTAAGAATAGAAACTACTGATTGACGATGATAACGTGCATTTTTGTTTGTAGCTATACATTCTTTACTGATTTAAATTTTATTTATGTTTTATTTCTTGTGTTGTTTGCATTTTCAAGGGTAATGGAGGTTTGTGTCATAACCAAGTGCACATATAAGTCAGAAACAGTTATGTTTTCAGTTTCAGCAAAGTCATCTATTCAATAACCGTGTGTCTACGGTTTAGTAGTTTGAGGTTAGGTAGTTTCATGTTGAGGTATTCACTTCCAAGTTACTCTAGTTGTGTACTAGAAACGGAGAGTGATTTAGATATGATGATGGCATATTTGGCGATAGCGAATGAAAAGAGTGTAGATATTTTTGTTAAGGATTTATATGTGAGCAGTGAGGATAATTGTCAATTTTATGGAAATAAGAAGTTGATAGCGTGTGAAAAAGGTGAGTCATCTTGTTCTAGTACTATTGAAGACATAAATGAATTTTTTGGGAGGTCGAAGAGAGCAAGTGCTAAGCCTTTGTTGTCGAATGAGTGGGAGACATATATGCATTACGTAGGGCAGAAGTTTGGTGGTAGTATAGAGGAGTTCCGCTTGAAATTGTGCAAGTATGCTCTTGAAGTAGGATTTAATTTTTTATATGCCGACAATGACAAAAGGCGGGTGATTGCAGTGTGCTCAAATAAGAAATTGGAGGGTTGTAGTTGGCGTGTTTATGCATCCCGTTGTGAAGCTACTTGTTTTGTAATTCGGACATTAAATAATGTGCAAACATGTGCGGGTCGGATACTTGAATGAAAGGATAAGATGATGAGGTCTTGTGTTGGGTCCTCTATCTTTGTTGATAGAATTCGTGCAAAAATGAAGTTGAAGCCAGTTGAGATTATAAACAAGTTCAAAGATTATTACGGTATGAACATTTCATACTAACACGCATGGTTTGGCAAAGGATTAGCCAAACTGGATGTTCATGGTGATGAGTCGAAGTCTTTCAACGAGTTAGTGTAGTACGTGGACGCTTCAATGTGATACTGTAATTAATCGCTTTAGAAGGTTTTTTTGTATCATTTGGCGGTTCAATTGTTGGATTTGAATATTACATCTCTTTGCTGTTCATTGATGCTACATTTTTTAAGAGCAAGTACAAGGGGCAGCTTCTTTGTGCTTCTGGATAGAATGAGACTCAAGGTACTTCAACTGTATTGGATTTTTTTGTGTTCCCCATTGCAGTTTATGTTTACTGTTTTGTGTAATATTGCTTGTATTTTGTTAATTGTTCTTTGAGTATTCATTTTGTTGAAATTCATGGGTTTTTTTTTATTTTTTTTTTATTTTTATGCTTGGTCTGTGTTTTAAATTATCATAAGGAAAGGGTTTAGCGTGTGCTAGGTTTTTTAGGGTTTTGGGGGTGGTTTGGGGTGTAGGGATTAAACTGATTCAAGTGAAAATTAAAATGTTGTCTGATAATCTGCATTGTAGTTTTTTATTCTTATACTTGTACTTTTGGTTTTGTTTACAATTGCTTATGTTAGATATAGTTTAGTGAATGTTTAAGCAGTTTCTGCATTGCAGTTTTTGGTTGATTATAATTGGCTACACAACTTTTAATTGGATATTGTGATGTTTTTTGAAGTTAATGAAAATTTGCAATTGTTTCATAAGTGGATATGCCTTTTTAACTTTTGTTTAGATGCTTATTTTCATGAAGTTTTTTGGTTTGTTGTTTTGTTAGTGCTATAACAGATTGATCAGAAACTGCACTGCAGTTTCTTATTTCATAATTCGATTTTAGAACAATTTGTCCAAGTCTATGGCACTACAGTTTCATTGACTTATGAGGTCCATGGAACAAATGATTAATTATAATAAAATCGAATTATTTTTCAGTCGACTCTTTCATTGATGAAACACAGGAGGTCCGACTTAATCATGTGTTCCATGTCAACTCTTCCGTTGTAAACGGCCCAATCAATTTCCAGAAAGGTGTTTTTTGGAGGAGTTCCTTTTGTCTGTCATTTAGCTTGTTCTTGATGTCTGTGATGATGGTGTTGAAGGCATTGATGCTGCACCAAAACTAGACATATTCTCAGTTCTTTGCTTTTCTATCATAACTTGGCTTTTGTTATTACTATCGCTTTTAATTATAAAAAAAACTTGGCTTTTGTTCTTAACTTTCGAGCTATTGATTTAATTCTTAGCTTTGCTTGGTTATAATCTTCCTTATTTTGTGGTGACTGTTCTGGTGCCATTTGTGATCTGAAACAAGAATGAAAACACTATCAAGGCACAAAAGAAAAGAAAATGCCAAAAATGGATGCTCTTCGAGACCTCCATAAATCTCTGAAATGTTTCAAAAATCCGCTCTCACTTTCAAGACCAAAACTTTCTTGACTGAAGAGGAAGCTAAGGACTCTGATGGCTTCGCACTTCTCGACTCTGCTGAACAGGTCATCACAAACCAGAAGGTCGTGGTCAGCAAACCAGACACAATAGCAGTTGACCAAAACCCGTCATAGCTACAAATTACACCGACGAAGCCTAATTTGAGTGAGACCCATCAATACCCAGATGACCTAGACTCTACTTTCGTCGAGTTTTGCTACGGTTTTTTTGTTTGAAGCTTTACCTTCAATTACAGAATTAATGAAATTTTGATAACTTTGATGGAGAAAGCTGGGTGGAATTTAGATTCGGTTGCTAATTTGGTTCATCATGATATTGATTATGTTAAAAAAGCTCATAACCGGTATACTTTATTGTCGTATGTTTGTTTGGGAATGGGAATGTTCAAAGGACTTGTGCTTAGAGCATCTCCAAGGGAGATGTTAAATGCAAAATGTTAAATTTGAATTTGTTGGCTTATGTGGCAATTTGACACTTTGAAAAAAATTGAACTCCACCCGAAATGCTAAATATTATATTATTTAACTATATTTTTAAAAGCAAATGGGGTCCATATGATGCATAAAGTTTTAGAAGAGAGTAAATGATAGTGGTGTCCATGACTAAAAATATTAAAAAATTATTTGACATCAAACTTTTTGATATGTTATTTTTGACACATCTCTTCCAGCCTTCAAATTCATGTAGGATTTGACTACTTGGTTGGAGCAACTTTAACCTTCAATTTTTGTTATTTCATGTCCATGTAGCAATTTGACATATTGATTGGAGATGCTTTTAGGTGACGAAATTGATGGAAGGTGGCATTGCATTTGTGCTTTCAATTTTTTTTTTTTTTGGGACTTAATTGACAAAATTCAGGATTTTACTTGATTTGTTAACAACTGAAAATACAGTGATGAAATCGAAAAATTAAAATTTCGATGACCAAATTTTAGTTTAAACATAACCCAAGTGACCAAAATTGTAATGACCCAAAAATGAAATAGCAATACAAAAAAAGCTAAAAATTTTAAATGGGGCAAAATGGTCAAATGAAGCCATTAAAGAGAACTAAAAGAATTTATAAAAGAAGTAAAAAAAACTGAAAACACGTTCATAATTGGAAAAAAAACATAAAAAAAATAAAAAGAAATTGGAAAAACCGCGTAGCGTAGCTATGATGCGGCAAAGTACTATAAAATATGGACGACCGACGACAATTGGCTCTCTCTCTCTCTCTCCGACGCTCTCCGTCAAATATCGTCGATCGACCGGTCACCGGATCAAATGGCCGACGCTGACGAGCTTGACGAAATCGTCCGCCGAAAGCTGGCGACTTTGATCTCAA